ACTTACAAGAACCATATAAGAAATATCTGTGTATTCTTTACTTGACTTGCCAGTAATTTGTATTGTGCTGCCTCTGGTTTACCATTCCATTAAATATTTTTGTAGATGGGTCTATGTACTTTTGAACCATTGGAGAGTAAGTTAGTGGCGTAACTCCCTTGTAACCCTAAGTAGTTCAGTGTCTGTTGGCCCAGCACATTGACATTCTCTCACACATGCTCAGTACTATGATCTAGATCAGAAAAACATTCCCCCAATGCTGTTGTCTAATCCATGCCCAGATCTCCAGAGTCATCAACAGAACCACTGACATCCTCAGACCTTTTTCTTATAGAGGCATTATCTTCATCTTGCCTTTAAGACATTTTTGCATGTACGTGGGTGGGTTATTCGTCCCTGCCCCTGCTGGGTAGAGGTAAGTAGAATAGCAGGAGGGGAATAGTAGATTATTTCCCACTTTTGACATTCCAGACATCCCCAAACATAACTTAATATTAGTGGGGGTTGCTTTGAGTAACTTCTGAGGGCACATGGTGTGGACAAATCAACGAGGTCGTGTGATGTTGAGGACAGAGCCTTCGAGAGGCATTAACAAAGAGGAGTCCCATTTTTAAAAATTCAGGCTTTTTCAATAGACAATTGCATTTCAGGGAGAAAAAAATAGGAAAATTCTTGACGAAGAGTGAATCAGGAAAATAGTTAATATTCATGATATATTTTCATGGATTCAGCACTGTCTTAGGTTACTTTTACCAGAAAGCAGAGGTCTTGTTTGCTCTCAAGATGCTTTGATGGAAACACTCAGATCTTCCTCCCTTCCCCACCCCCAGCTTCACGTCCAGGGCCACTGATGTTCTCTGGATCTCAGGACACTTTTCTCCTGTACATTTAGCAAACTTCCACCAGTGGGGAAGGCTGCTATTTCTGCTTTGTGTGAAGTGTTTTTGTACCATCTGGGCTGGCTGGATGTCAGCAAAGATAGTAAAGAAACATTTATCAAGAAAATCAAAGTCAGTCTTGCCAAGTGTGGTCTAGAGAGATATGTTTCCCTGGTACATCTGCGGCTCTCTTGCTGCTGGGAACCAGATCTCCTCTGAAAAGGTTCAGGAAGACCAACCTTAGCCTACAGGGACTGTCACCTGATGGTGACCTGGTGGTTCCAGTCACCAAAGATCTTGGAGATGGGGTGCTGACAGTGCCAGAATCAATTCCACTCCATTCCTGTTCACAGAAATTTTTGACCCATTGGATGGAAGGTAGATCTATCTGAAAGGATAGAAGTAGAACAGAGGATCTCTAAGGGCTGAGGGAGAGATGGGGTCATGCCTTGTTAGGAATGCTGGTCCAGGAGAAGTAGGCGTGCATGGAGAGGTCATTCTTAAACCTCTAGCTGTGAGATTGGCTCAATAGTACAGGACACAACTACAAGACCAGTGAGTGGTTACCCAAGGGGAAAGGGAAAAATCAGTAAATCAGGTGAAAGGGGTCAACAGACCTAAACATTTAGTGGTGAACTTAATGTAGTATTTACAAGTTGATTTTTAATGATGTACACATGGTACTTATATAACATCACTTCCAAAAAAAATAAATTGAAAAAGAATACAGTACCCCCTTGTCCTGTAAACAACACCCTGAAAGAGCTGAGAAGTGGTAAACATACTGTAGAGGAATCTTCTCCCAGGTGATTGTCCTGTGGTGTCAGCTCACAAGACAGGGGAGGGCAAGGTGGCCTTAGCAGAGAGAAGAAAGATGAGCGGTTGCATTTGGGTGGCCTGTCAGCCCAGACAACTTTCTGGCGCTTCAGAGTGTCTCCAATTGTGTTTTTGTGCAGCTCACTCTGTGATAGATGTGTCATTCTAAGAACCCAGCCTGGAAATTGGCACGTGCTGGATTGAGAGAAACGAACAGTTGGAGATTGTATTCTAGGAGGAAGGTGTCTGGGAATCTTAAAAAACTATACTATCTAGAAAAGCTTTACTGTGTGTGTGCTCTGTGGACCGGCAGCATCAGCATCACCTGGGAACTTGTTAGAGAAGCACCTGAGCAGGTCTTACTCCAGACTTGCTGAATCAGAACCTCTCAGGGGTGGGGGGACTCGCAATCTGTGTCTTGGAGCTGAGTGACTCTTACACATGCTAAACTTGGAGAATCATGCCTCTCTGGAAGTGTTCAAATAGAAGTGGTTCTGCTTAATATCAGTCCATTTGGAAATGGCTTAGTCTTTGCCATTAAAATGGACATGTGAAGTAAAATGGAGCTCTAGATACTAGTAATAATCATAAGATTGCAGGACTATAGCTAGCATTTATTGACTATTCTGTACAATCAGGTTCTGTTGCTAAATATGTATATTCTTTATCCAGTAGTTCTCTTATCACAACTCTACACGACTTATATTATTGCCATTTCTTTGGTCAAGAGATTGAAGTTCCAATGTGAAGTCATTGCTGGATAAGAAGCAGACCGGGCATCATGCATCCCTGCATCTGCTGCACTATGTGACCTGACTGTCTTACTAGAAATCCATGCTACTTTAAATAAATTTGGTTTTATCTATTTCTTGGGGACAAGATCATTGTCCCCCAGGTCTCCAGAGCTTAGTGGAATCCTAACACATAGTAGGGACCTGCTTGTTGAACTTAAGTGAATCAAACTCAAAGAGGAAAATGTCTTGCTTTTGGTGCAAGAATGTGATGCATCTTGCAAGCTGAAGCAGATCATGAATCCAACCTGAGGCGAGGTGGAAGAAAATGCTGTAATGGTGGCGTGTAAAAAGATGTCCATGCAGAAGAAGTTACAACTTGCCTTATTGAGTCACTTTTCACTCATCTGACAACCCATCCAGTCCTTGTCTCATCTCATTTATTCAATTCCTACCCCTTTACTAACTATATGATCTTAGGCAAGACTAGGGGGTATTGCCCTCCATCCCCTGCCAGCATTGGTCAGTTGCTTGGATGTAGGAAAATAAAAGAGACTTGAATTTATCAAGGACTTGGGTTTTATCAGATAATTAAAATGGAAGGAAAAAGAAGCAAGGGAGTAAGGGTGTTTTTTCAGTGGAGGGTGAATGCAATAAAGACAAGGGAGTGGGGAGAAGGAAAGAATACACTGGTCTCAATAGTTTGGTCATAAAAGACCCATTAATTGCTAGAATTAACGGGCTGGAAATAGGAAGTGTTATAAGATAGCGGGGTAAATGAGACTGAGATTCAGAAAACAGTGTGATTTCTGGTATGATATGTTCCAAGGAGAAGGTGACTCTGATGGGGAAGAAGCAAAGTTTGCAATAAGTAGGGAGAGGATTCACTGCTTTATCTCCTACTTTCCTATAGTCTTTCTTCCATTTGTTTTTCTTGTCATCTTGAGCTGATAGAACTTCTGTTTCTATTACCTTATAGTACCAAGACACTTAAAAATGTTGAATAATGGCAGTAGTAATGGGTATCTTTTTCTTATTTCTGACTTTAAGGGGATTGCATTTGTCATGAACTGTGGTACTATTATTCCATATAGCCTTTGTCCTGCAGGGGACATTCTCTGCTATTTCTAGCTAATTACAATGTTCCTGTGATTTTCTCCTTTGACCTATAAATATAACAAATATTCTAATAATAGATAACCTAAGATTGAACCATCTTTGCACTCCTGGTAGGATTCATTGTATCTAAGCCTTCTTCTAGATGATAGTTTGAGTCAATCTACTAATATATTACTTTGTCTTTTTTAAAATAATAATAACTGAGATGATTGGCACTGTATCCTTAAGAGCTATACAACTCCCATTTTTTTCTCATCTCCTTATCTTAGCTATACCTACATTACTGTTTTGAGTTTTCAGTTAGTCCTAATTAACATTTTCCTGTTTCTCCAGGTTGATGTCTTATTCTGCCTCATCCTTCCTATGGTAAATTATATCAACACTGCTGATCCTCTGCTTCCTTTTATTCCCTAAGCTGGTTTCAGAGTTTCCTTTACTCAGGGTGTTCTTGATTGAGGGAGGAACCTAACTATAATAAATGCTAGGCAACTCTCCTACCCACCTGGGACTATGCAGCAGGTGCCTCTCTTTTTCTTTCTTTCTTCCACATAAATCTGTCCTTTTAAAGTACAAAAAAAAATACATGCCAGTATTTTTCCAGTCTTCTTTCTACGGGCTCTGTCTGAGTTCTGATCATGGATTTGCATGAGTAATAGGCATACCTTGGTTTGGAAGGAAACTCTTCCTCTTCTAGCTTTACCTCTTTGAATCAAGATAAAAATCAACCCTCAATCACTTTAAAGTGGACAATCCAGTGGTATTTAGTGTATCATAGTGTTAGACAACCTTTATTTCTATCTAGTTGCAAGAAATTGTGAACACTTATAAAGGAAACCCTGTAGCTATTTAGTTGTTTCCCAATCCCTCCTCCTCCAGCACCTGGAAACCACTAGTGTATTTTGTAGCTCCATGGATTGACCTATTCTGGATCTTTCATATAAAGGGAATCACAGTATGTGTGGTCTTTTGTGTCAGGGCACACAAATGTTCAATGCTTTTCACAGTAGTTAAAACATGGAAATAATAACCCAAATGTTGATCAACTGATGAATGGGCAAACAAAATCTGACATATCCATACAATGGAATATTATTCAGCAATAAATGAAGTATTGATGCATGCTGTAATGTGGATGAGACTTGAAGACATTATGCTAAATGGAAGAAGTCAATCTTTCTTATAGGCTTTGGGGAAGACAAGCTTAGAGAACAGTTCATCTTGGAGGCAGAGTTGGGAGAGCCGGATGAAAGCCAGAAATCAATTTTAAACCAATATAGGGCAGAATCTCATCAATTTATGTGACTTTGTGTACTTCTCAGTTATTGGTGTTAATAAATTGAAATTCCCATTAAGTAAGTGTGAGGCCAAGGACCCTTCCATGAGTTCTGAGCATCCCTGGTTGGTGCTTAGGCATTTGGAAGCCTCTTAATGCTGGAATTGCTTTTTCTTTTTTCAGTAAGAGATGCAAAAAACCTTGTACCTATGGACCCCAATGGCTTGTCAGATCCCTACGTGAAACTGAAACTGATTCCTGATCCCAAAAGTGAGAGCAAGCAGAAAACCAAAACCATCAAGTGCTCCCTCAACCCCGAGTGGAATGAGACATTTCGATTGTAAGTTAAAATTAACACAGCCCAGGTGGGTGATGGGGGTTGGTTTGTGGGTCACCAGAGATTGGGGATTTCCTCTTCCACTTTCTATTTCCCTCCCTCCCTGCCTCCCATCTTCCCCCACCCCCTCTCCTTCCCTCTCTTCCTCTCCATCTGCATTTTTGCATTACAAGCCAAGTAAAAATTAGAGCCTATTTTTTTTTTTTTAAAGTAGAGTTGAGAATGTCCATGCTGTGGGGGAGTGGGTGGGATAGAAAATACTGTCATGTGTTGCTAGGTGAAGGCAAGTTGTGGGAGAAGCTCTGGGTCTCAGCAAAGGTGGGACATAACCTGCCGGGTGTGGTGATAACCTCTCTAGGGTGAAATTATGGATCATGTTGGGACTGAGACCTCTCTGTTAGCTTCCATGGAGGGTCTTCCCTGGCCAGTTCTCCAGGGGTCCCTTTTTTAATGCATCTGTGCTAACAAGTGTTTGTTATATCAGCCAATATTTATTGAGCATTTACTATACACACAAGCACTCTTTAATGATCTGACTTTGTCAGTCGTTTCATCCCCATTTGACCAGTGGGGCTTATGGAAGTTAAAGGATGTGCCCAAAGCACCACAGCAAATGCGGGGTGGAGTAGGCCTCAGCCTCCAGCAGACTAACTCCAGAGGCCATAGGCCAAAAGCGTGACTCTTTGTTGTATCCCCATCTCTTAGGGCAAAGCTGGGGGCCGATCTTAGCCTCAGTCAAGGATGTTCCCCCCAACTCACGTCAACAAACCTCTTCCTCCATACACATCCTTAGCCTCATCCTCAGCCCACATGCAAGCACACATGGTCATATAACTGACACCCACATTTCTGATAGTGATGACGTCCACAGAATTTCCTGAACATCATGAGCCCTCTTGGGATGGACGGCACTAGCAGAGGTTAGAGCTGCTGTGTTGGAGCTGACCTCGGTCCTCGTCGTCAAGTAACAGGCTGTCAGACAGGGAAGCTCTGACTCCCTGGGGAGCTCACCTGGGATGGAAATGGAATCCATTTCTTGGAACAGCTTGTAATCTGTAAAAATTCTTACCTTTGGGCCATGGCCTCTTGTATATTTCATCTGTTTGAGAAATCTTCATAACCTCCACTGACGTTCCTTTTTCTTTTTGCAGCCAGCTGAAAGAATCTGACAAAGACAGAAGACTGTCTGTAGAGATTTGGGATTGGGATCTCACCAGCAGGAATGACTTCATGGGATCTTTGTCATTTGGGATTTCTGAACTGCAGAAAGCTGGTGTGGATGGCTGGTAAGGATTATTTTGCTTTGAAAAGTTCAGCTTGATCCATCAAACATGGGATCAGATGTTTTCCTTTTTTTCCTACAAGTGAAATATTAATATATATTAATATATTAATAAGCAATGACTAGTAGATTGGCTGTGCCTCTCAGACAGGTTTTATTTGGACTTCATACAAAAAAAATTAAAAATCAGTTGCCAATATTTTTAAAATCAGGACATTTTCATAAAAATCTGGACTTTGGGGGCCTACCCTGGTGGTGCAGCAGTTGAGTGCTGGGCTGTAAAGCTGCCTGCAGCCTCTGCAGTACCGGTTCGATCCCCGGCCGCCGGCAAGGGTCCCACATGGCGTGCAGACCTCTCCTGCCGCCCGTTGCTCCCCTCAGCAGTGTACTTTGGTCTCTCTGCCTGCTCTGCTCCCCGCTCTAGCTCTGGTGAATTCTCTCACCCTCCCACGCTTCTGACTGTACCCAGTACTTGTACAAATAAATAAATAAATCTTTTTTAAAAAAGAATTCAACAAATTAAAAGCACCTGCTCATCAAAAACAACTTTTTAAAAAAAATCTGGACTTTGGGCTCAAAAAGCCAGAAGCTTCTGGGTACATGGGGCCTTGTGGGTAACAGCTGAAAACAGCTGAAAAGTTAACATCCTCTTTAGGCGGTATGTATGTTTTCTATTTGCCACAGTCCTCACCACTCCCTATTGTTTTATATATGTCTCACTTTACACAATTTCATGACTTGACTTGCCCCACAGGCACTAACATGGTTTCCACAATTACTCAAAGGACATGGGCAACCACTGTTAGATTTAGACTCCTTAAGAAGAGGCTCCTTCATTGGGATTACTTGCCAAGCCTGACTGCAGAGGTGCTGGAGATCACTGTTCTGGTCAGCTGCTGTGTCTCCTTCGTTCTGGAGTTTTTGCTTTCCTTTCTTCTCCTTCTTAGGTCAAAAATACCCTTGCCCAACATTACCAACAAAGAGGCTGAATAAGCAGCCCTGGCCACTTTGCTCCATAGTTGTCTAAGTGACGGAGTTGGGCCTGAGAGTCCTATGGTGCTTTCATTTTCAGAGAAGTAGGGATTAGCAACTGCTCTCGTTTCTTTAAGAAAAAATTGTCTCCTTTGTGAATGGTCTGGTTCAGGGCTTTTTCGGTGACAAGTAGAAGACATCCAAAATCTAACTGGGCTAGCAGAAAGAGAATATATCATCTGCCTACCCTTGTTCACATTACCTCTTCCGGGTCTCTCCTCCAGATTCATCATAGGCTTCTATCCAAACAGCTGCCGAGCGCCACCTCCAGTTATCAGAGACACATCAAGCATAAGACCCACAAGCCCTTCACAGAGCAGAGCTTAGAGGGGAAGGGTAAACCTTGAGGAAGAAGTTACTGAATTAACTGATCAGTGACAACATGATGAGAGATGTGCAGGAGGGCAGAGTGGAGGTGTCCAAAAAGCCAGTAAGGTGTATTAGAGCACAGCAGTTAGACCCGAAAGCCAGGGAGGTGAATGGCTGATCTGAGGGGTGGAGATCTATCGGTCAGCAGGCAAAGGAATGTGGAAATAACCTTGCAAAGCTCGAGGTATAACTGGCTACTACACAGGGCAATACAATCACGAGCTTGCCGATTATCTGTCTACCAGATGGAACGAGCAAATCTCACCTCTGCTTTCTAAAAGTTAACTTTGCAGAGTGGGGAGAACATGTGGACTCTACTGACCGAAGAATAATAAGTGACGGGATAACGTATAATAATTCGTTATCCACGAGGAAGGGGATAATGACTTAGAAAATGTTCCAGCATGACGTAGAAAGGTCACACCAGCACCTTTTGCTTTTTCCTGAGTTTGGATCATTTTCCTTAGCGTGTGCGGACCTGACTCTGCACACTCCCACCCTTTGCTCCTCACGCATTTTATGTTCCTTCCTCTTTAAGTCAAGAGGTTAAAGAGAAAGCATGCAGGATCCCCCCGGGGGATAAGTGAGACAGGAGAAAACATAATAATAATAATTATATCAACAATAGCTACCACTTATTGACTCTACAGATGCCAGGCCCTGGGCTGATCACGTCCCAGGTGTCCGGGAGTCACGCGTCGACTCCGCTCTGATCGCACGTGCAGAAAAAGTACAGCTTCTTTATTTACTGCAATGGACCTAGACTTTCTCCTGCAGTTTAGTGAGTTCCTGGTGGCTGAAGAGAAGGGTGTCATCTGGCTTCGTTGCCACAGAGTGGCTGTCCCAGTCCTGCCCCTGGACCACGGTCCCCATCGCAAGACTGTTCCCACTGGTGATGGGCATCATTCCTGCTTCATGCTGGAGTCCAGGCCCTGGGCCTTCTGTCCTGGGATTGAGGTCCCTCCGCACAGTGGCCTCTTTGTCCCATGTCCAGCTGTTGCCAGACCCTCCCCCAGCACTCCCATGGCCCCACATGAGTGTTCCATGGAGAGCCAGGAGCACCATCCCAGAGCCGCCATCGGCCCTGCCTGCTGCCACAATGACTCTGCTCTCCATCAGGTCCCTGCCCAGGGGTCCCATGGGGAGGGAGCACAGCTCTTGCCCTGTCCTCTCTCATTCTCCTTCCTGAGGTTCTCCAGGCTCCAAAGGGCAGGGTTCGTCCCCACAGGTGCCCCACCCTGCTTCCTGGGCTGGATCCCGCCTACAGAGTGCGTGGGGCTAAGTGGCTTCCAGATACTGGTTGGCCCATAAGGACTAAGTCCAAAGTGTTACCTTGCTTACACTTACACCATCCTCTAATCCTCCCAGCAGGCTAGGTGGGCCACTGCACCCAGGATCAGAGCAGCTGAGCAGAGTTCGGGTACAGCCCAGGGGTGCCAGAGCCAAAGTACTGCCTCCTACCCTGCATCCGGATATGGGTTGGCAGAGGCCTACAGGGAGGTTGGGTTGGTCTTGATCTTAGATTTCCTCACTGGATGGATGCTTTGTGACCGCAGGGAATCACTTCACCTCTTTACTGCAGCCTCCATTCTTCGGGCCTAATTTCAGAACCCCTTCGTGGGATGCTTGTGAAGCTGATGAAATAGTAGTTGGGAGGGAACTTTTGCAAATTCAGTGTCCTCTTTAAAGTTTACAGATAAAAGTCTTTTTCAGATTTAGGGCCAAGACATCTGCAATACTATCTGAACTCTAAGTCTACCCAAATTCTAGAAATTTGGATTCCTGTCCCAGGTATTCTTTTACTCCCAGATGATCTTGGGTCAGGCACAGCGCCTCTCTGAGACTCAGTTTCCCTATCTGGAAGAGGATGAGCTCTTCCAGGGCTGCTGTTGTGCTGTCATTTCAAAGCACGTGGCAGGAGCTGATAAGCAGCTGTGAAAGCCCCCAGATGTGGGGTGCCAGCCTCGGGCTCTCCAGCTGCCATCCTGCCACCAGCTTCGCGTGTTGTCAAAGCCTCTTCTTTGTTTCTAAATTTATTTGTTTCTGCTGTCTCCTTCCCTTCTCCCCTTGTTTTCCAGAGGTTCATCTGTTGTATTGTTGATTTATTTTCTTCAAAGAACTGTCTCTGGGATCCGTGTATCCATTCTGTGATTCTAGTTTCTCCATTTTTGTAGGTTTATCTTGTAGTTGCCTTTGAATTTCAGTTGAATATTTTGTTTGTTTTTCCTCTCTTAACTTGCCCTGTTCTTTAAAAAAATAATGAACAGGGCTCGGAGGGAATACATAGTTCCTCCACATACTGATGTCGTGTTTTAGCGTTTGTTGCTTGCTCGAGCTCTGTCTGCAGTTTTCTTTTTAATTTCCTTTCTATCATGCTTTACTGAGATATGTTTCTTAACCTCTAGTGTTAACTTTTTGTTTACCTTTTTATTAGTGATGTTAAGTGACAGTGCAAGTGCCTTGTAATCAGAAAATATGGCCTGTGTACTTTTCTTTCTTTTTTTTTTTTTTCTCAGTTTACCTAAGTATACCCTCCCTGTTTCTAACTGTTCTGTGAATTTTTCAATAAGAAGATTCGTTTGAATATTTGTGGGGTATGCTTTTCAGTGTTTATTTTTTAATTTTTTTTCTTAAAGATTCATTTATTTATTTATACAAGCACTGGGTACAGTCAGAAGTGTGGGAGGGTGAGAGAATTCACCAGAGCCAGAGCAGAGAGAGAACAGAGACTGACAAAGTACACTGCTGAGGGGAGCAGCGGTCACGGCAGGAGAGGTCTGCACGCCATGTGGGACCCTCACCCGGCGGCTGGGGATCGAACCAGCGTTGCAGAGGCTGCGGGCAGCTTCGCAACCCAGCGCTCAACCGGGGAGGCCTAGTGGTTATTTTTTTAAAGATTTATTTTATTTATTTATGCCTAGAAGAACTGGGGTTTAGGCCAGAGGTGCTGGGGGTAAGACTATTCACCAGAGATAGAGCAGGTAGCAGAACAGGCAGACTGACTGAAATACACTGCTGAGGGGAGCAGCAGGCAAGTCAGGAGAGATCTGCCACGCCATGAGTGTCAGCTCCCTGGCCAGGCATCGAACTCCTGCTGCAGAGCCTGGTGTAGCTTGATAGTGCTGAGACTTTAACTCCTCTGCCACCAGGGAGGCCCTTTTCAGTGTTTATTAATTCTACTTTACTCTAATTCTCATATGCCTTCATAGTTTCCTTTTATGTTTGATCTGACCTAAATGTATGTACTTGTTAAGGTTCTCCCAGTAGACCCTTTTTTTTTTTAGTATATTTCTAATAATGACATTTTGATCTTATTACCAAAAAAAAAAAAAAGATAACTAGGACTTTGGAATCACACTGCCTGGGTTAAAATTTCTGCTTTCCTCCTCATCTAGCTGAGCAACCTTGAGCAAGTTAACTTTGCCTCTCTGAGTCTCTTTTTATCATTTGCAGATAGTAGTGATAGTTATGTCATAGGACTGCTATGATATTAAATTACTCAATGTAAGCAAAGTGCCCGTGTCTGGCAAATAGTAAGCATACAATGTACAATGTTAGCCATCATTTCTAGTGGAATCATTAGCAGAAAGATGTAAACAAACAAATAGAATTATGCAGCATCCCTTTGCCCAGAGATTGTCACTATTGACATCATGTAGGATATTTTCCTCCTTGTGTGTGAAATAAAAATGAAATCTTATTATATAAACTGTTTGCAGCTTGTGTTTTCCATTGAATAATGTGCTATGAACTTTTTTCCCTAGCACTCCATCAACTTAGCCAACATCATTTTTAATAGTTTCATGTGATCTAGTCCATAGATCAGCCTCATCTTATATATGATCATATTATTATAAATAAAAGAGGTGCAATGCTTACCTATATAAATAGTCCTGTAGCAGACATACTTGTAGTGAAATCTTTGTGCACAGTTTTAATTATTTCCTGGTAAATTTCTAAGCCTGGAATGGATGGCTTTGAATACATTGGCATTATTATTAAAGTGCTTGCCAAAATGTTCTGCAACTTTTTTCAATAAATTTATATTCTCACCAGTGTTGCGTGAGACTGTTCATTTCACCCACACCTATGAACATCTGGCATTATAAATTTTATGGCTATAACAAAAACATTATATATATTTTGTTAACTAGTTATACATAGTTACTATAATTATTTTTACTAATTATGTAAACATTTTCATTTGTATATTATCCTTTGTATTTATGAGTAACTGTCTCATATATTTCTCTACCATTTTCTTATTGATTTACAGAACATTTTATATAAGAAGGATATTAATGTGTCTTTGCTGACATGTTAACAGTGTCTCCCCTCTTCATGTTGTATGTTAATTTTAACAATATGCTGTTTTCTTAGTGGTGTATAAAGCATTCAGTTCAACCCTAATCAGTATCCCAAACATCAAGCCTACTGCTTGTCTCCTAATTCACTAGCTATTATCTGAATTATCCATTCTAGTGCTCATTGTCTCTGATGGACTTTTGAATTCAGTAATTGTATCTTTTTTGTGAAAGTAATCTTTCTTAGTCTCAGATTGTTTCCTTTTCATAAATACATTCACCACTTGAATCTCATTAAAAAAATGACTTAGATGTTTTCTGAAATTTTCTCTTTGGCAATGTTCAGTTTCACGTGAGGTACTTCCCTGATTCCTCATTGTTTCTCTTTATTTGGGTGAGTATTTTGTGTTCTGTTATTTTCTTTATTTGTCCATCTCTCTAGGAGGGTGAGCATAGAAATAATGAGTGTCCTTACTCTGATAGTTCAGCTCCAGATGAAGAGAGGAAGGATCCTTTTGGGCTTTTGGAATTTTACTTTGTCAGATCAGGTGTCCTGTTTCCTGTAGATATTTGGGAGAGGGATTGGGCAACAGACAGCCTTGTAACAGGCTGTCCTACCAGTCCGTGGGGGGCATCTTCCCTTCATTGGTTTTGTGCATCTCAAAGTTGCAAGAAGGTCCTGTTCCTCTTTTCTATCAGGCACAAATGGCTTTATGTTGAGGCAGTAGTGGCAGTCCACTGGCCACCACAAGCAGCATGGACACCAAGCTCCAGGAGTCAGCATTTCATACTTCCTTGCATATGGGTTGGCATTGGTGACTCCCATCCAGTCCCTGGTGGTCTGACCCCATGTAGTAAGTGGGACTTGGTTGGGCTTCCCATGGATTGGTCACAGAGGGGCCCACCCCCACTTATACATTTTACAAAGTGTGAAACCCCAACTGGCTTTAGAAAGTACATGGTTGAGGCATCAGTAATACTCAGTTGTGCTCCAACAAAGCTATTCTTCTGTTAGTGCTCCTTTACCTCTTCAGGTGACTGCATAAAGAAAGTCTCAGAGGGTGCTGGTATATGCGTAATACACTGTAACACCTGCCACTTGCGGGTTTTAGCAAATAAGGCCAGCCATTGGGCAGAGCCTGTGGTAAGCAACACCATGGACTTGGACTTGGGTGACTTTGAATTGCAACTATGATTTTGCAGTTACTTTCTGCTTGTAGCCAGTGATATTGGCTTTCTTTCCAAGAAAGAGCTATAAAGTGTCCTATTACATTTATTATGAAAAAACATTTTAGTGGAAAAACATTAGGTTGATAATAATATCCAGATTTAGCACAATCCACAAAGGTGGATAAAGTTTGCCAAACATTGCTCCATGTTTTCTTACTTTCACTTTAATTTGTCAAAATTCCTGCAAGTCTTTGCCATGTGGCTAGCACCCTTCTTGAGTTCCAGCAAATATACAGCTGTTCTCTGATTTTTGTATTTCTTTTGGTAATTTCAATGGAAATTTGAAAGGAGAGATTTGAATATTAAATGTGAATATGTAGAGGCTCAAATTGTCATCTGTGATTTGAATCACATACCTTCCTATTTTTAGAAGCTGCCTGGGAAGATTAATGAATGAAGAAAAATTATACTTTTGGTTAGGAAGTCTCTTTGGGAGTGAGGAGTTTGATCATCTTTTTTTCCCCCACCAACTCGAATACTTTTGGAATATCCCTCTTCTTTCTTCATTCCCATCTCATCGTTTGACTAGATAGAAACATCTTTGTGGTCAGGAAACCAACTGAGGTCGCCATGTTTATTATGTTAATGTTGATACCAGTAATAGCAAGGATGTGCCTTTTCTTGAACACTTACTAAATGCCAGGCAGTGTGTGTACCATTTTACATTCATCATCATCTCAGCTACACAATAATCCCATGGACAAAAAGAGACTTTCATTCCAATTTATAGATGAGATGAATCGAGCCACCAGAGAGCCTTCCAAGCTTATCCAATTATTCCAGGAGGCAAGGGCAGAGATGCTATTTGGACTTGGCAGACTTTGGCTCCAGGCTTGTGTACTTAACCACTAAGGGATACCATTTCTCACTCTGGGAAGGCTGCTGCAGAGAAAACATCTTGGAGTTAAGTTCATAGTGGTCTGGGTGCTGCTGAGTGTCAAGGTGCCTTCGTGTATAAGGGCCAAGGAGTGGGTGTGCCAGGAGAGTGATAGGAGCACATCAACAGTGGGAGATCTTCACAGTCATCTTTCAGAATAAGAAAGCACTTAGTGGACAAAAACAGATAAAATCATACAGCACCTAAGAACATTGTTTGTGGAGAGTGACAGAGAGAAATATGGAACTTTGCATTCCATAAACCCAAAACATACATTTTTCTCAGATGTCCATGTAATAGTTAGAAAAATATAAAGTGGATCTGGCTATAATCGCACATACACACCCTCAAACAAAGGGCCCTCTCTGCATTGTGAAATTTTTTATTGTCCTCCTCTTATCCTCATCATACAGTGCTGTCATAGAATTTGTCTTGCCCTCTTGTCTCCCTTTAGGTTTAAGTTACTGAGTCAGGAGGAAGGCGAGTACTTCAATGTGCCGGTACCACCAGAAGGAGGTGAGGGTAATGAGGAACTGCGGCAGAAATTTGAGGTGAGAAGCCTGCCTGCCTGTCTGCCTGCCTCCGTCCCCATCTCTCCTTTCCCCTCCCCTCCCAGTGGGAACCAGTTGAGTGTGCCCAAGGCTATTTTTCCTGTTTCTGGTGTGGTTTCTGCCAAGACCATTCAAGAATGTGCCTTTGCAATGTTGTTCTGTTTCCCAGAAAACTCCTATTTATCCCTCAAGGTCCCAATCATGTGTCTCTTGCCTTGTGAAATGATTCATGTCTTCCTATCCTCATTCAGACTTAGATCTTTCCTCAAAAAAGAAAGGTCATTCACTGCCCAGGTCATTTTGATGATGGCTTGGACTGGGATGAAAGCAATGATGAATAAAGAAATAGAGTAGTGGTATATTTTGGAGGCTGAATCAAATAGGCATGCTGAAGGATAGAATCTGGATTTGGATCTATCGGCAGAATGGTGCTGTAATTATTAGCAAATGGAATTGATTGTGCTGGTGTTTCCATGAAATACCTGTTCATGCATATTCTGAAAAATAAGAGCCCTTGGCTCTGACCTTGGTCTATAGTTCTGGCTCTGCTTCTACCTTAAATAAGCCCCTTTCTGTGGAGCCAAATAAACCCCATTTTTAGCTATAAAAGAGTATAGGACACATTCCAGTTTTTCAAAGAAAATGCTTCAGGGAAGATGGGTTTGAGTACTTTCATTATATGTGCATTGAATGATTTTAAAGTAGTTTTATAAGGGAAAACACATTTTGTTCATGCAAACTCAATATACCTAGTTTGATGGGAAAACATACATTCCAGATAAGCAATGATGGCCTGCTAACTCTGAAAAAAATGTATAAAACAGCTAAAATAAAATAGATGATGATCATTGCTCTTCATCAAATAATCACACAAGTTTCCCCTCCATGCCCCCACAAATTATGACAGATAAAGTTCTATTAAAGCAAGTTCCTGGTAGACAAAAAAGGAAAATGCAGCTGGATAGGGAAGGTGTCTTTGAGGAAAGCCCAATGAAAGTTAGCTAAATGAAGAGAGGAAAAGATCATTCCATTCAGAAAGGACAGCATGTATAAAGGCCCTGTGGTGGGGAGTTATATAGCAACTGTGTGATTCTGAAAGAAGTCCAGTGTGGCTAGAGCAGAGAGAGCCAAGGGTATGTTCAAGACAAGGAAGTAGGTGGTCAGAGTAGAAAGACCGTGCCGACTTTGGCAAGGATTTTGGCATTTATCCTGAGAGTCACCAATTTCCCCCTCAACTTGAGTGAAATAGCTCTTGAATCTTAACCCATGTCTTGAGTCTGTATCCTCCACAAAACCTGGACTCTGGAGATGGTTCTGATTCAGAGGGGTTTCCCTTCTAAAAACAAGTGGAATGACTCCAACAACTTTGGACTTACCAGTCATTCTCCAGTGAACTTGTAACTGAAGGTGATTCCCACAGAGCCAGCTCAGGCTCTAGTCAATAAAAGAATTTCCCAACAAATAGAGCTGAGAACTGACACTGTCAATTAGAGCAGGAAGATCTTCTGGAGAGTTTTCTCTGTCTCTTCCCTCAGCTTTCTGATGAAGGTGTGTACACTTGCTGCTGTGTTAAAAATGTACTATTGTGGTTGAAGAAACAAGACCAGTATTTTCTTGTTCAAAATGAAGCCTCAGTTTTGCAAAATGATTTCTTCTGTTTTAGGGCGGCTGAGGTGACATTTCAGAACACCAAGGAAAACATTTCCTACATGAACAGAGCATTTGTCTGGGCCAGTTATTGGCTTGAAGTAAAGGACTGTTTTATCTGCATGAAACAAAACGTGTCCTTTTATTTCTAGCAAGAGTCTGCAAATGTTTGTTTATGCCTGAATTATAATCGTTCCACAGCATAGTTGTTGATTAAAAAAATGTTTCCAACAGACCAAAAATTGTTCTCAGACACATAGAGAAATTTCAGTTGACCTTGAACGTGAGAAATGTAATCCCTGTGCAATAACCAATTAGCACCCAGAATGACTCAGAAATTACTTTCAAGCCTCTTATCTGGAGAAATTCTGAGTGACGGGAAAATCGAGCTGCTGGAACTGGGGTAATAGAATTTCATGGTAGGGTGAGCTTGGTGGAGTTAGCACATGTGGTAGATTTTAGGACGTCAGATTTGGCTGTTTGGGGGCTTTCTTCTGCCTTTGGGCTGGCTGATGGCCCAGGGAGCCAAAGACTCCATTCTGGATAGTTCAGGATCACAAAAAAGTCTACCTTAGACTTTTTTTTTTTTTAATTTGGTAAAAGGCTTACTCTGTGCCTCTTCTTATTTAGAAATATTTAGAAATAATTTCTCATTTCATTTAATCTTCACAACAATCCTACATGGCAGGATTGTTCATTACCAGGTAAGGAAACTGAGGCCCAGAGGTGGCAACTTGCTGGTCAGTGCCTTGTGTTGAGTTCCCCCAGATTCAGATGCAAGTAGTTTCTTACTTAGGGAGATGATCCCCAGAAGCATCCTACATGTCAACTGGCAGGGAAGGGATGCAGGAAGTGAGCTGGAAAACCTTGCTTGTATCATCAAGCCAGGTAAGGCTGTGGGTAGCTGGGCCTGGTCCTGCCGGAGGACTGTGGGAGTTGCAAGTGTGTCTCCAGGTTTCCTGCCAAGGAGGGAAAGGGAAGTATTTCCCACCAGCTCTCTTTCCATGCTGGTGGAGGGCTGTTCCCAGGGGAGTGACCTGCTGGCTGGCTTCTGCACTCTGGAAGTGTGCACCCGCAGAGGCTGGGGGTTTGCAGTAAGCACCCCAGGATGCAGAGAGGAGAGAGAGTATGGAGGGTCTTGGCGGGACCCCTGGCCACATCTGTACCTTGTATCCTAGTCTGCTCAGGTGGTCAAGAGCCAGGATCCCTGGATTTGAACCCCAGCTATGCCCTTTCCTCGCCGAGTGGTTGTCAGCAAGTCACTTTATCTCTGTGAGCTTGTGACTTCCCATCTGTAAAGCGGGGAATTATAACACTTCTTACCTCATAGGGTTACGGGAGGATTGAATGAGGTCATGCATTTAAAACAGTGCCTGGCATGTCACAGCATTGAAGTGTCCTGGTTGTTGTCGCGATCAGCTCCTCCTTGGGAGGGAGGAAGCTCAGGAAGGCTCCTTCGGGGATTGGAAGGGCAGCTTAGAGTTGGGGAGCACTTGGGGGACTCCTAGTCTACAAGGTCTCTGTCTTCACTGCTGGGTAGTGGGGAGTGCCTGGTGGAGTTCTGGGGGGGCAGGGAGTCTGTGGCTTAAGCCAGGAGAGACATTAAGATCTGAAATGGAGCCCAGGGCCTGGCTGCTGAGTCTCGCTCGCCCCTCTGCCCTCTGGAAGGAGCTGGGCTCTTTATTCACAAGTGCAGTCTGTTTACTTTCTCTTTGAGCATTGGGGCCTCAGCCTCTAAATTGTAGACATGAAAAGGCAGCCATTAGTGTGCTTCTGTTCCTAAAGGCATATCCAAGCCAGCGAGATAAAGGATCATTTTAATTTGGAGCTTAATTTAAACATGTTTGCTCTTTGATGGTGTATTTGTGAGGCATAAAGCTACTGGATATCATGGGATATTCAGGAGTATAGAATAGGGTTCTTATCCTACAAAGGCTCTCTGTGTAGGGGTCACAACCCCAGATGTTCTCAGAAGATGGTCAGATAACAAGAAAGGGGAGTGAGCTTGGTGGCAGGCCGTGGGGTATGCTAGGTGCTGTGGTGAAGGCAAGAGCACTTGTCCCCCCAAAGGCCCTGGGCCTTGCACGATGATTCTAGGATCCACTGGGAGTTAAAAATGCCAGACCCTGGATGAGAACTGAGCCATCACAGAAATGGAGGCACCGAGGGTGGCTTCCACATTCTAGAGTCCACAGAGTGGATGTTTGACTTTGCTTTTCCCCAAGATTCCAGCACGAGTGTCAGGAAACAGCCTGCAGCTTCCATGAGCCTTCCTACAAGGATGTCCTCAAGCCCTAATGATTTTTTCCTGTGTGCTTCCCCTCCAGAGGGCCAAGATTGCTCAGGGGACCAAGGCTCCGGAAGAAAAGACGACCAACACCATATCCAAATTTGACAACAATGGAAACAGGGACCGGATGAAATTGACCGATTTCAACTTCCTGATGGTGCTGGGGAAAGGCAGCTTTGGCAAGGTACAGTATGGCTCGGGGAGGCACCCACTTCAGAAGAACAGCATACAGGGCAGGCACAGTTGCTGTTTCAGTAGAACTTACTTTCTAGTGAGGGAGAGAGGAAAGAGGAAATGGACCACACTACAGTGCCTAATGAATGCCGAGTGAAGGAAAGTCATAGAGCACTGTGCCCTATACCATCAAGAGGGTTCTTCTTAAGGAGGTGACATATCAGATAAGACCTGAAGAAAGAGCATGGACCTGGTCATGCATTCAAATAGCTGGGAAGGAACATTGCTGTCAGAGAGCACAGCATATGCAAAGGTCCTGTCGTGGGGAAGAACCTGGGGCATCCTACCTACCGTCTGGGCCAAAATGCCTTGAATGGGGTGGGGGTAGCAGGATGTGAGATTGCAGAGAGGGGCAGGAGGCTGATCATGCAAAGCTCAATGAGTTATGTGGAGGAGTTTGGGTTGCATTCACATTGCAGTAGGGAGCCATGGAAAGTTTTCAAGCAGAGAAGTAAAACATATTTGCCTTTTGGAAAGATCACTCTTGCAGCCAAGAGTGGAAATGGTTCCTTTCAAACAGCAGCACAGTTGAAGGATGACCCTGGGACTCGTAGAATGATTCTGAATGCTTTTATAGATACCGGGAGACGCTGCTTTACTGAAGTTGAGATTGTGTTATAAGTATTCCTGTCTTGTTTAGTGTTGTTTGGTGTCTTTTAATCCCTTAGTGTGCCACAAATATGTCTGGTATAAATCTCGTACTGTGAACTCAGGTGTGCAAAAAATATAAATTTCTTCCCCGTCTTTGTAGCTTTCCCCAAGAATCTGGGAGTTATCTCTGCTACCTCCTCACCCTCTCCTTTCCTCTGTCATGCATACCCCATTGGTGAGTCCGGACAGATTCTCCCCAAAGCATGTCAAGGATTGACTGACTTCTCCACATCTTCACTCACGCATCCTTCATGTAAAGCATGTCTACCACGGGGACCGCTGCCCAAGTTCCCACTGGGTCCTCTCGTTATCTGTCAGTACATTTCCATTTGGCAGCTATTGTCATTTCTTAAAACTCACATTAGGTCAAAAACTCCCCGCTGGGACCCTCCAATGATGTCCCATCACATCAGAGTGAATTCTACCCTGTGTCCTGGGCTTACATCACTCTTTCTAACCAGACTCTTGTTCTCTGCTTGACAACTTCTTTATCTTCTCCATCATCCTCTATGCTTGGGCCACTGTGGCAGTTTCTTGATCTTTTTTTAAAACATACAAAACTTTCTCCCTGAAAGCTTTTGTGACATTGGCTTCTTCTTGTAATTCCCATCTCAACCTGGATGCCACCCTCTCTGAGAAGCCTTCCCTGACTGCTCAAACCACTCATTCTTTCCATTATGTTGAGCTCTTTCCCAGCTGTGACTTCCCTCTTCCCAGACCCAGTGGAGCCTGCTTCTAAGCAGATACCCAGTAAAATGGGACAGAATAAACTGGCATATAGGATTGAGAGGGAAGTCAAGGCAAGAAGAGGGTCCTAGCCTGTGTGGGAAACAAAGAATTTTGAGGCCAAAGGATGAAACCAAATGGGTGAGGCCAAGGCATTTAAGATGCTAGAACTACCACTAGATTCCAAAGATGGGTGTTTCCATGTGACAAGAAAGAAAGTGGCCCAAATGAAGAGCAGGTTCTAATAAGCAGAGGCTGTTGGGAGTTTTAAAAAATTAAATTATATTTTTAATATAAGCAATGCATTCATGTGGTTCATGATTAAAATTATATTAAATATTGAGGGGCCTCCCTGGTGGTGCAGGCGGTTGAGCAGCGCACTGTGAAGCTGTCCACAGCCTCTGCAGCGTGGGTTTGATCCTGGCCGGCTGTGAGAATCCCACATGGTGTAGGAGACCTCTCCTGTCTCACCCGCTGCTCCCCTCAGCAGTTTATTTCGTCAGTCTGTCTGTTCTGTTCCCTGCTCTGTCTCTGGTGAATCCTCTCACCCTCCCGTGCATCTGGCCTGTACCCCAGTTCTTGTATAAATAAATAAATCTTTAAAAAAAAGGATAAATATTGAGAAGTCCTGCTCCCCATCCAAGTCCATCCCATTCTGTCCCTCCTTGCTCCTGCAGCTCTTCATGTGTAAACATTTTTGTTAATCTCATTTGCATCTTTGCAGTTCCTCTATGCTAATTCAGCAAATATTAATATGTATTTTTATGCTTATCCTTGTTAACTCAAAACCATACCATCCTATACACCTAATTCTGTACCTTTTGATCACTTAATAATTGAGGGATGGGAGTTTAGGAGAGCCTTATGGCAGGGGTTAGAATTGGGGCGGGGGTAGGTGGAAAACTGGGGGAATGGGTCATTGGGGAACCCTGAAAACATGAGAGAGAATGGATCATCTGTTTCCATGGAAACCCTTATAATAATTGAGAGTTCTATTTCAGGCTGGGGATATGGCATCAGATCCATTGCAGATGAAAACAACAGTGTGTCATGAAAGCAAACTAGAATAACAGAAATCTCTGTGATCCTTTGAAACGTAGTAATCCTTTATGACTCTAGTTCTGCCAGCAATGGTTTTCAACTCTGGTGGTTTTGTATCTAAAATGCCTTCCTCCATCATCTTACAGTCTTGGTGAGCATGCAGATCATTCCCCTTAAACAGAAGAGCAGCAGCAGCAGCAATAGCTTCTCCCCCCTTGCAAAGACAAAAAGAGGGGCCTTTGGGGTTACTCTGTTTACACTTCCCTTCCCCTGGGTCCACTGTATCCGATCTGGCCTAGAAAACATGCTCTTAAGAGCTGTAATAATTTGTAGCACGACTAGGGAGTGACACAAGCATTTTGCTGAGACCTGTGAAAATGAAACAAGGGAGAAAAGTAAGTGTGAAGGGCATTGAGTTCAGCACATTCAAATGGATCACTTACTGATTTGTTTAGTGTTTCTTTTTATAGTTTTACCCCTCACTCTATTTTCTATGATTTCTTGAACCTTTGTCTTCAACTTTGCCAACCACTACCTTTTTCAGGAATTGAACCTCAGTGGTGGCTGAATGATGACTGGCATTAGAATTATGTTCCAAATCGGGCAGTTGTTGTGGATTGTCCAGCTTGATTATATAAGTGGACCTGATAGAACGTCAGGGACAGCAGATACATGATAAAGTATAGACACAGCACAAGCACAGGTGTTTACATCATAAACTTTCCTCCTCTCACCCTAAAGTGCTGCCACAACTAACATCCATTAAATATTTAATCAATGCCAATGTTGCCTACCTTCTGGGACTTCATATTGGTATGATCCAAGTCTTTTTTAAAAACTGTGCTGGGAAGTTTGAATGGTGAGTTTCTTATTCTTTTATACTGCCTATTCTTGCCTCTGGATGGTATTGTGCAAACAGGGGGTGGGGTGGAGAAAAGGTGGATAAAAGCAGGTGCAATCTGTGTGGATGTTGATCTAAACAGGCACAGCACCCTATAAACCCAACCACACAAAAGGATCTCTATCAAAGATCTGTCATGGAAAATGATCAGTAATAGAAAAAAAGGAAAATAGCCCAAATGTTCAACAGTTTGAAAATTAGATACATTCAACAGAAGGGGGTCTCTTTCTCTCTCATCTATTTATCTATCATCACAGAAAGATGTCCATGACATAATTTCAAACAACAATAGAAGCAAATCACAGAACATTATGATGAGTAATATGTATTAAACTCTACATAGAATAATTCTCTTTATGCAATTTAATCATGGTCCCAACACTCACTGAATTTTCCCCCTAACATTTATTATGGAAAAAAATTTAAATACAGAAAAGTTGAAAGAATTATATTATGAACATCCATAATGCCCAGTACCTAGATTTGAGAATTAACATCTAACTATGTTTTGCTTTATCACATATCAGAGCCATCTATCTGTCCCCCTGTCAACCCATTTTTTAAATGTATTTCAAAGTAAGTTGTAGACACTGGTACACTTTATCTCTAAACTATTCAGCTTGCATATCATTTAACCAGGATTCAATATTTGTTTTTGATAATTTTAAAATAAAAATTTACATCTAAAAATGCACAAATAAGTGTATCGTTCTATGAGCTTTGAAAAATGAATAATTTAAAACCCAGTGGGGGTGTAAATGTTAATCAGAAAATCACTCTGGCAGATGTAAAGTGCAGCCTGGATGTTAGGGATGAGCTGTGAGTGCCTGCGGGAGTGGGGTTGTCTCTAGCTGAAGTCAGTGAAGGAGCCATGAGAAATGGCTCCTGGGCTCTATCGACAGGGCAAGTTAACTATGCAGAGAGGGAGGGAGTAAATGAAAATCTTGGAATGTCTTCTCTTCCTGGCATTGACCCCAGCCCCCAGTCAGGCTTGGCAGCCAGGGCACCCAAGCTCATTTATTAATTACAGTGGATTCAACTGCTGTAAAAAGAAAATGAACTCCCAAATGTATACAGGTTCAGAGACAATAGAAGTTTGATTTTCATTCATGTAACAGTCCAAGATGGGTGTTCCTGGCCTTCACTCACACCCTCCACATAGTGATGAAAGGACCTGAGTTCCTTCCTTCTTGTATGACTCCATTAATCCCTAAGACCTTGTTTTTGTCTACATTCAGAAGGTGGAGAGGGGAAAAGAGAATACGGAGGAGGAACAAGCTGCTTTTTAAAAGCCTTCATTTGGAAGTGGCACCCATCACTCCTGCCTACACGCTATCGGAGACAAGTCACATGGCCACACCTCAGTGCAAGGGAGGCTGGGAGAATGATTGTGGTGGAATTTTTGTGGTCTTAACCACACTCCCTACTTTTCAGCCCTGGTTGGAATTTTTTCTTGGGGATTCAGAAGACCTTCTGACTTTTCCCTTTGGAAATCCCAATTTTTCATGCCCCACAAACACAAAATTCAAACTCTTCTTCTTGGTGACATTTCCTTATGTTCAAATCATGGAACATACCAGGTGTTAGTGCTGCTTTTCCTGAAGCATAGCATAAGCCAGAAATAAATCAAG